CGCGCCATGCGGGCGCCACTCCACAGGGCGCCAAAGCCGGTGGCCTACGGATACACTAAGGGAAAAACTTCCAGCATCGGTGCATGTGATGAGCAGATGAGCACACACACCTAGTATAGAATGGACATGAGCAACACATCTCGAAGAACACCAGTTATGGAAAAGGTAACTGTCTTTTCTATTGCCCCAACATGCATCCCAAGACATATTGCTCAGCTGGACTCCCCAAATTTTACAGCACTGCCTTTTCCACAGCACTGCAGTGGAACTGCACTGCGAGCAATGGTGGATGCTGTTGTGTAGACAAGGGACAAGTATTTAACACAGTGATGTTTGACCCTATTCAAAATAGGGTCAGGCTATATGGTAATAAAAATGCCTGTGTCCTGACAGTGCTACAGCTTGCCCCAGTGGAGAATTATGGATCTGAATTTTGCTAGTGTAGACTCAGCCTAACTATGTGAAATCAGTATGATGCTGTACCCCCATACATGACCATCATGTAGCCATAATGTAAGGGATGAGGATGAGATACATTCATTAGTGGGTACTTGTATTAACAGCCATGTTTAGCCATTCTATATGCATCCAAAGAAGTGGGCTGTAGCCCACAAAAGCTTATGCTCTAATAAATTTGTTAGTCTCTAAGGTGCCACAAGTACTCCTGTTCTTTTAACAAAAATAAAGGAAGAGGAAACGCGGGGAGAAAAAGGAAGATTTTTAAAAATAAAATCCGCCTGCATTAACATCCAGTTGTATTGGAGACGATTGCAAAATAAGGAGGAAATAGCAGAAAGTGGAAGAGGAAGTTGTGTTATATCCCAACAACTTTGTTTCATTCTCTTATAAAACAATGTGTCTATCTAGATAAGGATACTACAGCTATCAGGGTTCCAAAAACAACTTAAATCCTGCTTAGATTTAAGACTCCTTCCCAAATCCCCCCCCTCGAGAGTGTATTTAAAAAAATCAAAGAGCTTACACCCAGCCTTAATCACGTTATAAGAGTCATGTTTGTACAGCAAAATTGTGACCTGGAGCCTGACCAAATAAACTTGCTTACCTAATGTCAGGTTCAGGTTTTGGAGCTGCCATCCAAGACATCAGTCTGTACCTTGAAGCCAGAGGCGGATGCCAAACCGGGCATGCCCATGAGTCTGAAGCTATGGCAGGTAAGGTAACCAGGCCTGCTAATTGTGAAATGTTTTCCCTGTGCTTCATTTTATATGGAGCACATAAATCGTTCTTCACTCAGGTTTTGATTTATTGTCAAACAATCAAGTAATATACTATAAAGGGAGCAGGGTGAGGGAGGCAGATACTTGTAAACATCCTTAGTGTAATTTTCTGAGTAATCCAAGCTTTAATGGAAGGTACATGACTTGCAAATGCTTACTAGAGGCTTTGCAACCTTAGAATAGAAGCAATGTTCTTGCATCAGTCAAGAAGAAAATGAGCGAAGTACAGAAGCCAATCTTTTGATATGGTCTCTCATAAAAAAGGGTGATGAGAAGTGATTGGGGTGTTTAAGAAATAGATAGCAATTTTAATGATAGGTTGCACTTATCCACTAAGAAAATAGGTTATTGAACATTTTTTATTCTAGACATGGCATATGGACAAAGTGTTTACACCTTGTATTTACGTTGGATGAAAAATAGAAATAAAACAATTATTTTTAAAAGTCTTTCTAATTATAAGGTAGGTATCGTAGCCCAGCTGAGGAAAAGAAAGTTTAAGTGATTTGCCCTAAGTCTCACAGTGTAGTGTGGCTGCAGTGGGAATAGAAATCCTGATTCACAGTTCCCTACTCTAACCTCTTAGACCATATTCCCTCACAGTGTTTGTTAGTGCTACATCATTGGAAATTATTTACAAATTATCAAATGCTTGCAATCGGATCCTACCATTGCTCCACACTCAAAATTCCCATTGACTTGCATGGAAGAAAACGCCTTATGAAGCAGATGTGGGAATGGGGTTTTAGTGTGCCAAGGTCTCATCCTACTTCCCTTTAAATCAAAAAGGAGTTTTGCTATGGACCTTGGCCAAATGAATATGGGCCCATAGATCTAACCCATGGCGGTTTAAGGATTCATGTACAATCAGAAATAAATTAAAACAGTACTACTGCATTTTTATTAAGCCAAATAAGATTTAAAAGGTTTAATAAATGCTCAGCTCAGCGTTTGATAGAGTGTAGGTTTAATTCATTCATGTTTGTGAAACTATTGGAAGTCCTGGGATGGAAGGTACTCTAATTCTTATCATTATTGTTTTTTATAGTGAAAATACTTCTCCTTCGGTTTCGTGCTTTCATTAGAAATGTCCTGATGGGTTTTCTCATTGTGAGCCTCTGCAGTAAAACCATAGACTAAATGAACACGTTCCATGTATCCTAGCCTCCTGCATGCTAATTCAAAAATGCTCTGTGAATCAGTGAAATAATATCCCTACTGGGAACAGCTTTTGAAACTGAGCTGTAGAGTGGGAGGAAATTGAGGCTTAGGTTAGACTTGTTGTATAAGAGACATTGGCTTCTCCTAAGCAATTAAAGAGCAGGCATCAGCATATTTTGTCATGTTGAGGGCTGAGTAACAAATTAAGATCTCATTTTACTAAATCTATATTTATAAATATTGATCCGTGATTGAGACCAGTATTTTCCCCTCACAAAGGAGCATATTCATAAATGCAAATGATACACAGTGATTGTCTGTTGCGCTTCACACCTTCCAGACATTATTAACTGGGTGTGGTGGATTTGCAAGAGTGAGGATGTCTTCCCTTACATTTATTTTTTGCACTCCCTGGGAAAGGCACCATCTTGCGTAATAGGACAAACAAAAAAAATTGAACAAGAATAATACATGTAGAAACTGGAAATGCAGAGTTATTGCTTTATATAAACTATAGCAATTATTCCTGTCGAGTTGACAGCGGATCACCTTTTCTTCCTTCCTTGACAATTATCCAAATGCAAAACAACAAAATGTTCTGCTTAAGAGGAAAAATATGACTTATTTATAAAAAAAAATTAATTTCCCCTGAAACCAGAAGATGAGAGCTGAAGATTTTTCTTTAATAGGGCCCATTACTGAAGCAAATAGGTTATTGTGATGTAATGCTTTGTAAGTAAGGGATCAAACCTAGAAATCCAGCTGATTTCAATAACTATATCATAACTTTGCACATACACAAGCATGTATACTTGTTCAAATATGAAACTTCATGTAATTTGTATTACCCTGTACAAACATTCTCCTCTTCATGCAAAACTGTTTATTTTTAAATGAGACCAGTTTTGGCTATAGTCAGTTCACAGTCGTTTATTTTCACTAAGAAAACCAAAAACTTGGGGCCAGATTTTTCTAAAATGCTCAGCACCCAGCAGTTCCTAGTATTCTCAGTGGGAACTGCAGGGTGATAAGAACCTGTAAAAGTTTGCCCATTAAATTATGAAAAAGACAAAGGACCTGACAAGCTGGCCCATAGATATCTTGCTGTATTGACTCGCGAAAGTTATCCACATCTTGGAGATCATTGCTCTTGAAGAGTCACGGGCTGATGTTCATTCATTGTATGAGCATCTCATAGTTCCAACCAGAGAACAAGCTAAGCCTTGCCTTTGCAGGAGAAAGAGGATTCTGTCATGTAAAGGCTGTGGCATCCACAGGCTCCCAGCCTTCATTTGGAGCCAAGATCAGCTAAGGAGATCACACACACACGCCTGGGCGCTGCCCCTTCATAAGATAGGTGCGGGAGATTTTGCTTTGTTTTCTTGTTGTTTTTACAGGCCACTTTCAGTCCAGTTCTGTAGTTTTGCCAGCGCTGATATTTACTTCAGGATTCCTTCCCACACTGAGCACTTCCTTAGATTGAAAGAACATATATCTTGGGGCTATGAAGAAAGGATCAGGGCTCTAACTGCAAGCGTTCATGAAAGGCCACTTTCTTTCCCTTCACTTATCAAGGAGAGCTCTTATTAGCAGGACCACCCATTATTTGTTTGTTTAGCTACTCCTAAATGAATGTTTTAATAACTAGTGTGAGAGTAGTCTGGAAAATGAATAGAGATGGTGAAGATTTGGCCAGTACAGATTTGTGTCATGCTAGTGAGTCTCTGGTGATTTGAGAGAGAGCCCATATAGTGACACAGAATGGTAGGTGATAATTCATTCTCTGGAAACTTCTTTGAATTTTATTTTAAAATCAAACACAGTAGGCGCATAGGATCAACAGAGAGGTGTTTGAAAATAATAAAATAAGCTAGCATAGGCATTACTGGGACAAGATGTCCCTATACATGCTGGTGTTAAACTTGGGCCTATTCTGGTAGCTTTTCTCCTATTAAAGACATAGTTGGCATTTACACGTGCTTGTTTTTCAGTTGCTTTTCATTAGGGATTTGCATCCTAGCTCACATGACCAGTTACTGATTACAGGGTCATTAGCCTTTTGGCTAGTGCAATGATGAATATTTTCCTTAAGTGTGACATGTAATCCAGTAACGTTCCCTTCTTTGAGTTATTTCAGAGGCTTAAATAAATTAGGTGTCTGCCCAGGGTGCCATGCCCTTTGGCCTGTGACATCATTAATCAAAATATCTCTCAATTGGTTACAGTGGGATTCAGACCTCTGTTAACTCTTTGGTAACTAACAAAGAGGTTTTCAAATAGAAGATTAGCTGTTGGGTCTTAAACAGTGCAATGCATTTGGAGAAATTATCTGCATGCAGGACTCATGGGTGTTTTCACCGTGGCAAGATGAAAGTGGAATCTAATTAGTGGGATAAATGGACAAAAGTAATCCAAGAGATTATGTGAGATTGGAAAGTGGTATAAAAACCCACTTCTGTGAGAAAATGGAGCATGCATCTTGGTAAAATGCTGAAAATATAAGTTTGGTATTCTATCTTAAAAATTCGGAAATAACTTTCTGAGAACAAAATGAATTTGGTTCTGATAGCCTGGTTATAACTTGATTACTATGTCTAAATATTTACTGAAAAGCCCCACTCAAGCTTATGCCATGAACTATCTCACCATGAGATTCTGACATTTTGAGGGTCATGATGTTTGAATCAAGTGATAAAGAGGAAAATTGTTTAGATTTTCAGGAAGGAAAGTAATTATGTGCTACAATGATGGACACTTCAGAAATGATTTAACAGTAATTGTTCTGAATTAAGATGTATGGAGCACCAGAGGTTGCCTTTAGTGGCAGCCTTCTGAAGCTCTCTGCTCTAACACTGTTCACTTCAATGTTAAGTTCTTTTCATTACTTTTCTTGGTGCTTTGGCTAAAGCCTATCTGGGGGATGTGAAAAATAACAGTTCTTGTAAAACTTTTTGTTGTTTCTGAACAGCCTGACTTTGGTTCATGTCCTTTTCTTCTGGCTGGCTACGAGGACGGATCAGTGATTCTGTGGAATTTATCAGGGGGAAAAATATTAAGCCGACTTGCTTGCCACCAGGAGCCAGTGATGAGCCTTGACTTTGACTCTGAAAAGACGAAGGGGGTCTCGGGCTCATCTGAGGAGGTGCTTACCGTCTGGAGCCTCGATGAGCAGCAGAATTTAAAGGTCAGGATCATCGGCCCCTCTGTGTCATTTATCCCGCTTTGCACTAACAGTTGGATAGACTAAAAAAATATTTAGTCATGAAGAGGAGTTGTTGCAGATCTCTAACTAATTAATCACAGACTGGTTAGAATGCAGGAGAAGGCTGTCCGTGCAGTTAGGCTATAGTTGAAGAAAGGTGGGGATTTTTTTTAAATCTTTCACATGTTTCTGGTTTTACCAAAGCTGGGTTTAAGCAACCAGCACATAGGCCTACCATTCCGCAAGTCACTATTTTTATACATTTCTTTATCATTACATTATTGTTCAATACTCAGAGCACTTAATAAATGAAATTATTGTAAATCAAAATAAAGGGTTGTTTTCCTAAGGATTTTGCTTGAGTGCCTAGAGTTTTCCCTTTATCTTAGGAAAGAGAAACATTTTAAGACAGTTACAAATAAAAGATTAAGGTTAGAATAAGTGATTTACTTGCCCAACTAATACTGAAAATCAATGGGATTTAAGCACTTTTTGAAAATTTCAACCTAAGATATGAAAACAAGTTACTAATGTCAGTTTAGGTACTAGAACACTCCACTTACGTAGGATATGGCCTAAGAAACCAGTTGGGCCTAATGATGGTGAATGGCATTGACCGTGGCTTAATCTGGACATCATTAGTAAAAGTTGTTTCAGTGCCAAGGGGTGAGTGGTAGAAATTCTAGGATCTGGTATTCTAGTACAGAAGTAGCCAAATGATGATTGTGGATAAAATTTATGACAGTGTAAATGGGCCCACAAGGCATTCTACATTGCCTGAGTCTCTCTTCACAACATATGAGTGGAAGGGTCATAGAGAGGGGCCTTTGCAACTCCTGTGTGAAGCAGTCTGCAGGGATCCTTTGGTGGAGCGGCTACTGGATCTACATTTATACTGCCTTCTGGAGGAGGAGCAGCTGCTATTCAAGCTCCTGGGTTTCCTGCAGCTTTGTGTGCACACACTGTAGAGGCAGAAGTGAATTTCATCCGAGGAGGAGGAGGAGTAATTTGTTTTTATTCAATATAGCTATCTTACACTGGATTTTCTGTATTGACATCAGTCTGTGATAAATCAAGTAGGAAAGAAAGGGACGTTTCCCTCACAATATCTTCTCAGTTATGTGTTATGAATTAATCTTAATGGGAGACTACAGGTGTGATTTGAGGGGTGAATAAACTCTGAAGTTGTTCACCTGAGGGTATTTCAGGTTTGGTTTTTGTAATGGGCTGTAGTTCCAAACCTATATTCCCAGTAGATGCACAGTTGGTTACTGCAGCTTTAACTGACAGTCGTTTTCCTTGGATGAAGTGCTATTTAAGTGCAAAGTATTAAGCCATAAATAACATTTTTCACTTCATCCATAGTGTGAATCCACTATTAAAATAAATAAAATGTGTCTCCCACACGACTGCTAGAAATAGTCAAGGACACAGATTAAGTTTTTTTCCACTGTTGCATTAATAACACAAACCAGATGGGGATTTTTCCTGACATTCCAGGTACCTGAGGTAATGGTAGTATTTGGAAAGCCACTCAGTGGCACACTATTTTTACTCTTAAAAGTTTTAATAACTAAACTTGGTGCATAGCTATCTGCCTTTGGAGAAATAATGATGCAATGATGGCACTGCTCTGCTGTTTTATGTGGCAGTGTTCCAGTGTGTCAGTGAAAAGACGATGAAGCTAACTACATGGCTTATCCCCAGGAGGGAAGCTGGCATATTGTCTGGTACCAGTAAGTTGCTGAAGTCATCAGTATCAGTGAATGGCTGGATTGGTTATGAGGCTTCTGATTTGGATGAGATAGTATAATTAAGGGATAATGTTGGTGGCAGAGGAATACAGAAGGCAATAAACAGCTTTTGCGGGTGATTAATCAGCACAGCAGAGCTGAGGCATTCAATAATTGCAAAAGCTCTTTACTGCTCATAAACTCCACCTTGTTCTGGTTATATAATGAAAAGGAAGATTCAACAAACCACAATGTAAATCATCAGAAAATTTGTTTTTCTTGCCTCTTTAGGCTTTAAAAGCTCAGTGATGCTGCTGCCTTCTTGGCTAGAACAAGGGCCCAGAACAAGGGCAGGGCTTGAGGGAATACGTGTTTACAGGTGGATTAATTTAAAAAAAAAAAAAAAAAAGTACTCTCCTGAGTGAAAAGGGAGTGTCAGGTCAAAGAATCAGGCCATAGTTGTTAGGATATGTGACTAACCTTGGCCATGATTGGCTGAAAGCATAGAATCCAGATCTCCTTTGGTTCGATTCTTTCCTTTCTGGATCATGAAATGGTTTTCTACTTTGGAAACTTTGCTGATGTGTTTTTTGGTTACATTCATTGCCCAGGAGCTTTTAAGGCGGCTCGCTCAAATCCCCTGACCACAGCATCAGGTTACTAATTCCCTGAGAGTTTGTCCAGGAGTTTTATCCTGGCTCTCTTCTTCTTCTGGTGGGTCTCTAGCAGATACTGTTACTTCCTTACCATTCCTTAACCAAAGAACATTACCATTACAGTCTTCATTGTCAACTCGTAACTTGCTGTTGACATGGAATTCCAATTATCTTCTCTGGACCGATCTTGTCCATTTCTATTGACATTCCTACTACAGTTCTCAGAACTAAGCTTTGGTTATGCCCAGGTTCACAACCTCCGTTCCTTAAGCCATGTCTCCAATACAGACTTCTGCTGATATAGCTATGTTGGTAGGCATGTGAGGAGGTGTGATCCCTGACTGACATAGCAGTGCCAGCAAAAGCCTCTTGTGTAGACACAGTTATACCAGCAAAATGGTACTTTTCCTGTAAGCATTTATTTCTCTCAGGGAGCTGAAATAAGCTATACCAGCAGAAGTGCAGTTTTGTGACTATAAAGTGCAGACACGCTAGAAGTGCTTTGCTGGTATAGTATAAAAGTGGTTCTAGTCTAGATCTGGCCTTAAGCCTTGTCTGTACTAGAAAGGGTTTGAAGCTGTAGCTATAGCGGTATACCTATACTGACAAAGGATCAGCAAAAGAGTTCTGGCGGCATAGCTTATATCAATTCCCTGAACTAAAAAGCTATGCTAGCAAAAGGGCTTTTTGCCAGCAGAACTGCATCTACACTAGGGCTTTTGATGGCAAAACCATGTTAATTAGTGGTGAGGTTTTTTCAAACTGCTACTCCACATAGATATGCTGCCAAAACTTAAGCATAGACCAAGCCTCAATAACACTTCCAATTTTGCTTTCTTGCCTCCAGTATTCCTTCCATTTGGATCTACTACCCTTATTCTTCATTTTCTGTTTCAGGACATCTCCATCTCCTGTCTTATTTTGTATGGTGGATGCAGAAAGCACATGTCAGGTTTTGAATTAACCATTCTCTTAAGGAATTTGCATTAATATATATTTAGGTATTGGAGTGCTGCTTAAAAAAAATAAACAACAAACTAGTTCTTGGATAATTAGAGGTTTAAAAATACTGGAACTTGTTTTGGATCTGATTCTGCAAGGTGCTGGGGTGTCCTCAGCTTGATTGTGTATGTCTTTCATAATTTAAGTAAGGGATTGATCTAGATTTTAACTACATTAGTAGACTTCTTAGGGAACTAATATGATTTTTAATTGACCTCGTGCTGTATATAATGCACCAATTTTGCAAAGGAAAAGTGTACACATTTCCCCTTAGGGAAACAGCCACCACCCACAAATTTATGTGAACTCTAAATTGAATGATGTTGAGTTCTCTGTTTGTTTTATTTTGTTTTTTTCAAGAGAGTTACTTCCCAAAGAGTGTGTTCTCACTTCAGTTTATGGAGGAATTTATATGTTATCCCCTAGTATAAATGGGAGTTGTGTGTGTGTGTATATATATATATACATAACAATTATAGCACACTGTGGTAAGAGTCTTTTCTCTTTTCAGTGTATGTGCTGAAATGTACTAGCTTTCTTATATATTGACACTGCCTCAATAATGATAGTATCGGCACTAAGTGATAACACAATAGTTATTAGTTTGATACTCAGCTTAAGTCTGTTTTCTCTGCACTCTCACACCCCTTCAGGAATACCCCTGAAGTCTGGAAACAAGGCTGTGACTCTAAACTTTGCAGCTCAGGCCCATCTGTAAGAATAACAAGAGTGAGAGCGCAAAGCTGTATAGTCTGACTATTCTCGCTTAAACCAATTTTTCAGTGATGGCAGAGTAGAAACCATTTAAATTGCAATAAGTGTACAAGGGACACTTTTTTTTAAAGAGACCATGCTGAAGGCAGACTCTTGTGGTCTTCTGTCTCTATCTACTGTTATCCTAACTACTGCATCACCCCCCATCTGTGGTTTAGAAGTTGGGATACCCACTAACAGGCAAATTGATACCCGTGTGTTTGTTGCTAACTCTAAAATCACAAAGATTTTGTTTTCTTGCACTCACTTTAAATAACTTCAACTTTATCGCTCAGGTTCAGAAAACACACAAACTCGTCAATGCTGGGATTGCTGATGTTGCCATCCGCCAGGACAAGAAGATCCTGGCAACAGCAGGGTGGGATCATCGTATCAGGATCTTTGGCTGGAAGAAACTGAAGCCCTTGGCAATACTGGACTACCACACAGCAACTGTCCACTGTGTATCCTTCTCAGATCACAGTAGGCCAAGTGAAAGACTGCTGGCAGCTGGCTCAAAAGATCACCGCATTAGTATCTGGTCAATCTATAATCAAACCTCAGGTGCTTTGCACTGTCCTTTGGAAACTCGAAAGCCGGACTGATAAACCAGAAATTGTTGTGTGATTAAAATCTGGGGATGGGGAAGTATTAAACCATCTGCAGTTTGAATGCAAGTCCCCAGAAGAACCTATTCACTATAGAAAATGTGTTGTTGTAGAAGGGAAAGCCAATGCTAGGAAGAGAAGAATGGATGATCATGCAGTTAAGGCAAAGGCCTACCAGAGATGAATTCTGTTGCATCCTCTGCCACATGCTTCTTTTGGCAAATTGTTTTGATTCTTTGTACCAGTTTTCTCATCTGTAAAATGGAGATAAGTGCTGTCACTCAGGCATGGTGTGGTCTAGAGTACACTGGTTTCCAAATCATATTGAGATCCTTTAATGTACGTAAGTGCAAAGAATCAGTTTTATGTGAACTTGAACCCATTAAACCATCCATAGCAGTTTCTCATGTCAGTTACTTTTTCTTCTCCATAACTGAAAAGCTATCAGACCAACCTTGATTTGTTCACACTTCTGTCAGTTTCTAGCTTAAGCCAACAGTCAAGAATGTGACTAGGGATGGCTTTTGGCATTTATGAATTTCATTATGTCCCATGTCACCTCAAGCCTCGCAATTAATCATAGAAAGAAAAAGGAATCTTTCCATGCGCTGCATTGTAAAGCTATGTAAAGCCTTTTCCAGAGCCAGTGCTAAAGCCTTTCCATAGACTGACTAGCAGAAGGATTTAAACTGCGCAATCCAATTAGCGCCCTTCTCCTTGGAGATTTGGGGTAAATTTTCAGTATGGTGAGCCAGGGATTTGGCTACACATCTCCCATTAACATTAATGGGAATAGCATGGATAAATCCTTCTGCACTACCCTGAAAATGTACCCTTTAGTTTATCATCTCCATGGTCGTGGAAGCTGAAATCCACTCCAAAAGCTGATTGTTTTTGCTTGAGTCAAGGCACAGTACTAGCATCCTTTTCAAATATATTTGAGCAGTAAGTCTGTTTGCAGGCCAGGAAATCTCACCACTGAATTAAGGTTTGCCAGTAAGATGCACTTATATGTACACCATAAAAGCAATTACCAGTGTGACTTTAAATACAGAGTAATTTCGAAATGCTAGGTGGTTCTTGGCATCAGAAATATTTAGCATCAGGAAAAAAGTGTCTGTTCTGCAAAGGGGGATTTTTGGGATACCAGTGCTGTTCTGTTGATGTTTTATTGAAAATGTTTGTCCCTACCCATTTATGGGGCTAGACATCAAAGGGGAACTGGTCAGAGATGAATTGGACAGCAGCATCAAAAGACTTCAGGACTACATTTCAGAAACCAAACTCATGTAATGCTGATGCGAAAGCTAAACATAAAACCGGGGCCTGCTATGCACCTGTACCGTACATGCAGGGATGATCTTGTTGAACAAGTGCTTTCTAACTCTGTACAAGAAATGTTCCTTAAGTGCCAAGCCCCAGTGTTCTTTCAATGACAGAACATAAACCATACCACAACAAGGCTTTTACTAATAAAACTCTGCACTTCCCAACGATTAAAGTGGTGTCACACACTGAAATGTGTTCCTGCATTTCTTTGGTTATTTTTCTCTTTATAGTCAGCTCTGTGGAGGTTTATTCTGCACGGGTGAGTCAGATGAGGCCTGATCCTGAGCGTCTTTGAGCCGGTCATTGGGAGTTACAGACACTCATTACATCTAGACAGTAGATGTGTATGTGAAATGATCATGCCAGGATCTCTACATATCTTCCTCTTCCCATGCAGAAGAGAGGGGTCTGGGGTCAGCAATCTCCACAGCACCATCATCCTGAGATCCACAAGGAGCCTGACTGAATGATACAAGTTTCAGAGGGATCGCCGTGTTAGTCTGTATCCGTAAAACCAACGAGGAGTCCTCTTTGAATGATACAAGGAACCCCACACCGTTTTTCTCCCCACAAAACAGATGGGGGACTTATGATGGAAAGAAAGCCACTGTTTCTTATTCTTTTGTATTAAATTGCAGTGGTACCGCTCTGATCTCAGAGACTCACCTAATCCTACAACAGGACACCTCCTGCTGAATTCACATGTAGTAAGGCCCTGCACCTATTGAGATGAATGGCAAAACTCCTACTGACCCCAGTTACACATGATTAAACCCTAAGAGATCACCCTTCTCCAGGAAAGTCCTTGGTTTTGATTGGAGTTTTACCAGATTAAAGATTCAGGGCCAGACTCATAGTCACTGCTTGATTTGTTTATTTACAAATCAGATAAAGAGGGGTTGGGAGTGTTAAGGTGAACACTAAGGCTGTGTCTCTGCTGCCACTTTCAGCGCTAAAACTTTAGTAATTTGGGGGTGTGAAAAAACACACCCGAGTGACAAAAGTTTTAGCGCTGAAAAGTGCCAGTATAGACAGCGCCGGGCTCCCGGCGATAAAGCTACCACCCCTCATTCGGGGTAATTATTTTTTATCACCGGGAGAGCTCTCCCCTGGGGATAAAGCGTGACTACACTGCCCATGTCACAGGGCTGCCTTGGCCACGCTGTAACGTGGGCAGTATAGACATACCCTAACTTTCAGGCCCAATGTACTTTTCTCCTCTTTATAGTTAATGTTTCCTATATAACTGCTGTCACTTTGTTTTTGAGTTGATGAACTCAATCTATGTCAGTGAGTACTGCTTCGAATAGAAAGTGAGTCTTTGTTCATCTGTGCTAAGATATTCCATCTGCAACGGAATCTTTAAAAAAAAATACTTCCAGCTTTTTAAAGAATTGGAGTTGCTCTGCTGTCACTGAAACATGCTCGAGTATCTCAAAACCTGATCCAGTACCTCCAATGGAATTGTAGGGTGACATGACACCTTAATCTTATTGAACATTCATTATTCATTAACAGCTCTTTCAAGCCTTCTCCAAGCAAGGATTAATAAGCAAAGCACTTGCTAATTGAGAGTATTGTTTGATCTGGGCTTGTAGTTGAATCTCTGTTCACTGACCAACTTACCAGCAGTCTATTTTTCTCTGGCCTTGAAGGCAGCCTTTGTAGTCAGAGTTCACTGTCTATCAGAGTTGTGGAGATGCTCAAGGGATTCTTAAAGTAGCCTGATATTTACTAGCTCTTTGCATATATTCTTATATGTTCCTTCATGATCAAATTATCACCCTTTGCTGCAATAGATGTTTATATTTGTTTGACGAGGTAGTTTAAAAAAAACAACCCAATCCTGCACAAGAACAAATTAAAAATAAGGAGATGAACACACAACTTCAATCCCACAAACAGATATACACATCAGGGCATGGAGTGTTATTGACTTTAAGAGGAGGGAGTGCAGATCGGCTTGCAGAAATAGGATTTGTATTTTGCCTTTTCAACCTGCACATAGTAATAAGTACTTTATAGGTGAAAGGGTTAATCAGCACAGTACATTAGCAATGATATTTTACTTTCATCATCCTAATCAATTGTGGGGGGTTAAGTGCATTTTTTAGTTTCCATCTAAGTTACTGGTGCTAGAGATTTGCTTGAATACATTATCTGACTTAGATACACACACTGACTGCACAGTTTTGATCTGGATCACAACTTTCCTGAAATTTATGAAGTTATTTACTTCAGGATCAAGACATGAATTTCAGTCTCAGACCTGAACTTCCCAAAGTAAAGAAGTGTTCAAATCAAAGTGTTCGTTTGGGCCTCTGTCTGTTAACACAGGACTATAAAAGGTAGCTACCTGATCACATCTAAGAAATCAGTGTAAAATATTCCCAGAAGAGTTAAAATAGCTTTTTAAAATGAAATATGGTCATGTTTATCCCACTGAAGATTTCAGTTGATTCATTTGCTATCAGGAAGATTTTGAGTAAAGAACCACCACAAACTGATGGAGTTAGCCCCTGAATCTCACCTGTCAGAGAGGAATAGGACTAGCCTGAACTTGGCTTAAAAGAGTGAAGGTGATGACAGCTAAATTGTTGCAAAAAAGCTTCCTCCCAAGAAGTGGTGTATCTGTCACTCTGAGGGAGGGGGTGGGAAGCAACCAACATTCATAAGCTAATTGAAATAAATCCCAAACACTAGCATTTGTACAGCAATTACATGGAATATTTATCACCAATGGGATGAATGCTGACCTCTGACCCTCAGATGTTTCCTGTAAATGAATCCGTTAGTTCCAAGCTCTTCCTCTGTTCTGAATGTGGTGAGCAGGGTGTTCTACTTCAAAGTGGAGATGAGCTAGGGAAGAGGAAGATAGCTAGCCATAGTCAGTGTGAGGGCCTGTAAAAAGAGCAAATTGTAAAACCTTCCCTCCTGCACTCTGAAATTGAAATTAATTATTAGTAATAGTGGCATAAATTACACACTGTGGAGCCCTACTGGGACTGCTGGCACTTTTTTTTAAAGATGGATAGCTTTAAAGTCAGTACTGTGTGATGGTTTTTAGTATGTTTAAAATGCATCTTACAAGACTTGATTTTGTCCAGTGCTAGCAGACAAAACTACAGATTCATAAACTTTTTCTTCTCTTCAGCGTCCCCAGTCGAGATAAAGAGGTGAAGTGACTCATTAGCGCAGCAGCCAGGTTAATTATCTGAGCAAAATGCAAGAATTACTGAGCCGAAGATCAATGCATTTCCTTATCTAGCATTGTCACTGTGGTGTGAAAATGTGGATCACTGTGTCCTGCCTGGATGAATAGGACATGATATGTTAAGACAGGGGTCGGCAACCTTTCAGAAGTGGTGTGCCGAGTCTTCATTTATTCACTCTAATTTAAGGTTTCACGTGCCATTTTAACATTTTTAGAAGATCTCTTTCCATAAGTCTATAGTATGTAACTAAACTATTGTTGTATGTAAAGTAAATAAGGTTTTTAAAATGTTTAAGAAACTTCATTTAAAATTAAATTAAAATGCAGAGCCCCCCAGACCGGTGGCCAGGACCCGGGCAGCGTGAGTGCCACTGAAAATCAGCTCGCGTGCCACCTTCGGCACGCGTGCCATAGGTTGCCTACCCCTGTGTTAAGACAACAATATGTGTTTCAGACAAGCGGTGATGTATACAAAGTCTTTAAGCATGACTTTACAGTGTGCTCCCACGTGAATTATGGAGATGAGCTGGTACGAAATGCAGGAACTTTCTGTTATTCACACACTGTTTGGAAATTCTAGTCTGCGTCCCAGTGCTGGAGGCATTTTTCCAGCTGAGCGTGTACCTTTCCTTTGCCACATGGCAGCATCAATTTGGCCTTTGAGAGCAATTAAATAGTTGTATACAGGCACAGAGGATGACACACTCCCCAAACAGCTCACTCCTATTATTCACACCTGTTAGGCCAATTTCATTGCTGGTGTATCTTCACTGAAGCCAGTGCAGTTGCACCAGTGACGTAGTTGGCCTATCACTCCAGCACTCTTTTGTAGCATTATAGGTACTGAAAGCATTTCAGA